ACACAAACATTTGAAAATGGTGTTGTCTTGCACTCCACTCCTCTCTCCAAGGCCTGCGATTTTAAGCGTCATTGCAAGATGTGATTTTTTTGTAACTGTGGTAGAAAGCGCTCTCCCACCCGTGTCATCTTCGGCCCCTGTAGTTAGGGGTTAAGGACTCCTGCACAGAAGAGTCCATATTTCTGGACTTAAACCACAAATTGCATTGTCTTCCCAGCACAAATTATCCGTGCCTGCCCTCACACGAGCTGTGACATGCAATACTTATGAGATGGCCAAACAACTGCCACAGCGTTGCATAACTGGGTTTCAGTCCCAGTCTTTAGTTTCTCAGAATAAAATGCAAACCTTCAGCAAGCCGGGCTGCATTCAGGAGATAAAAACCCGGCGTCACTCCTTTTTCAGCCGCCCGGCTAGCCAGGGCTCAAAGCCAGCAAGAGAGACCCAGAGCGAGCATGTTTTGTGAACGCCTGGCACTCTGAATACTTTACATAGAGCTGCGATGTTCAGCTGGGGGTGGGGGGTGGGGGGGCGGAATGACAGGCCTTTTCTTGGCATGAATGCTCCCTTTGTAATGAAGTGACATCTGGGAGAATATTCTTCCCGTTGGGTGTAAGCCTGGCCTCCAGAAAAACATATGGGAAGAGGTCTTGCCCACTAGGTATTACTGCCCCTCACCCCATTTTAAAAGCATGCCTGGGTAGATCAGCTAGCCAGCTGTTTCAGCGATGCTCCCAAAGCAGGAGGGCTTAGAAGCAGATGTGGATACCATTTGTCTGCACCATCTGGTGTTTCCAGGTACATCATCGCTGGCCATGGATGCCCCATTTTTACATCAGTCAGAGGTTGTCAGCCTTGAAATCTACCTGCCATTAATTCATATTTTCTAGCATATCAACTAAGTGACTAAACTTTTCATGTTTCCCCCCAAATATATCAAATCAAAGGGAAAAGGAATCATCTCTCTGCCCAAATAAGATTAGGCCAACGGGGCAGAACTGAAAGTGCTTTAACCCAGTCGGGAATCTGGAATTGGACCCTGGAGGGTTAGTAGGAGGTGTAAGCCCGCTTGAAGCAGCCCTAGCTATAAATCGAGTGGGAATATGAAAGTCAGTTCGAGAGGGAGAGAGATGAAGGCTGATCAAAGGGAAAAGGAATCATCTCTCTGCCCAAATAAGATTAGGCCAACGGGGCAGAACTGAAAGTGCTTTAACCCAGTCGGGAATCTGGAATTGGACCCTGGAGGGTTAGTAGGAGGTGTAAGCCCGCTTGAAGCAGCCCTAGCTATAAATCGAGTGGGAATATGAAAGTCAGTTCGAGAGGGAGAGAGATGAAGGCTGAAACACAGGCAGTGTCCCTCAGCTAGTGGGCTAGTGGGCATGAAGAAAAGACATTGCAGGCAAAACATGACAGACACTATATTCACATCAGTACATATGGACACAGACACAGACACAGACACACACACACAGAGAGAGACAGACAGACAGACAGATATATATATATATATATATATATATATCTCCTTCTTTAGCCCTGTCCCTGATAAATCAAGGCGATAAAATGGTGAATTGGCACTTCCCATCCAGGCAGAGAGATGGTACCAAGTATGGTGTGGGATGTCATCCGAGGAATTAAAAGTAACTTTTTGGGGGGGGCAGGGGAAAGGGGGGTGGGAACAAGACTGGGTGGTTGAGGTAAGAGTGAGAATTACCCAGGTGTTTGCTTAATTAATTGTCCAAAAGGAAAATCAGCTGCCGCTCAGCTGTCGGACCCAGCCTCCAAACAAAGATGTGCGTAACGAAACTTATTTATTAAGAGGATTACTTTTTACAGTTTCCTGACAAGCCGCCTAAAGTTGCGCCCCGTCGTAATTTACAGGATGATTGGGGGGGGCAGGAGGCCTAGATGTGGCCCATCAGGAGTGGCCGCAGGGAATTTTGGTGACAGTCATCCGGAAATTTGTGCTGTGGGTGGGAGGCAGACTTTATAGCTTTCTATGTAGGGGGGAGGGTGGGCTTCCTATACCCACCCACCCCAATTCTGTCCATCCCCATCTTTCCCTCTCACTGATTATCCTCTGTGCTGTTTCCCCCTCCGGCAATGTTGTGCCTCACCCTTACATCCACTTGTCCCAACTCTGAAACCAGCTGACCAAGCAAAGGCTTATGGTGGGTTGCCATGGAAACTGCATCCAGTCCAGTCTCCCTGTCGCCTGGACCAAATCTTATGGATGCTATATAAAGGGTAACGTTGGTATAGTAAGAGACCCCCAGAAAAGTGCTGAATTCTTGCAGGAGAGCGGGGAGAGAGGGAAAAAATGGTAAATTGAAAGCCGTTGTTCAAAATAGAAACTTTCTCATCATCATTTCTTTTACAAGTTAGATAGCTCCGTGGTTGAGGCATCTGGCCTCCTTCAAAAGGGTTGGACTTGATGATCCATAGGGTCCCTTCCAGCTCTGCAGTTCTAGGATGATGATGATGATGATGATGATGATGATGATGATGATGATGATGATGATGATGATGATGATGATGATGGAGAAGTAGAAGAAGTTGCTGTTTCAGGGCAGGAGTCCCCTACCTGAAACATACAGCGGTACCCCATATTTCAGCCAAAAGGGAGTCACTTTCAGAAAAATTACATTTGCAGATCTAGGTTTTAACTTGCTCCCCATCTCTGTATATTTTGAAGAAAGCATGATATTGAAATCCCCAGGATCTCCGCCATCGCTTCATCTCCCCCACCCCTGCCCACTCCGCCGACATCCTTTCCCAGCCCCTCTTTGCTTCCAGCTCTCACAAAGTGGAAATTAGATGGGAAATGGAGCGTGATTACAGCTGGCAGTGGGTATCGGATGCCCGGAGGGGATTGATTTCCTAAAGAAAGAAAAAGAAACCACGCCAAAAGAGCCAGAATAGGGGGAAAAAGAGAGGGGCGCTGTTTACTCCCTCCCCTGCATGCACGGACTCAGCTACAGATGGGATGCTGAGCTGAGATCATGATGGAAGGAGAAGGCAGATCTGGGAAATGTTACCCCTTGGTACTACAAACTCCAGTATCCCCTGGTGATAGCCCAGCCACTGGATCTGGGAGTGGATCTTTGTTTGAGGCTGCGTTTCCCTTGCAGTGAAAACAGTTGTAGGGCGAGGGAGGAGAAGGAAGGGTTTCCTTGGGTGTTGAAGAGTTAAACTTTTTCCTCTTGGTGCCTCTGGCCTGGATCTTGATCGTCCTTCTTATTCCTCTGTTCATTTCAACAGCGATGCCATCATGGAACCTACGAACCAGGTAGTTCATCCTGATGAGTTTGGGATCAGAGATGACTTCTCCGCCAGGTCCAACAAAGGTGGTGTGAAAATTTAAGACTATGTCCACCAGGAAAATGCTTGGTGGTCTCCCACACCAGTACGAGCCACACCTGATCCTCCTTAGCTTCTGGAACCAGCGGAGTTCAACCTGCTTATGGTGGCATAGCCATTCTTCCTAGACCAGCTTCTCCCAGCCTGGTGTGTTGAAGGACAGACGGGTGCATTCTGAGAAGCATCGTCCAACCCATCTGGTCCATGTCAAGTTGCAGGAGGTGGTTGCCACAGTTTGTGGCTCATGGTTCACACCCTATGGCCTGACTTTTACCTACGAGAGCGGCTGCTCTGGTTTATTGAATCCGTCTTGGTTTATCTGTAGGGTTAAACAAACTCTACCCTCCTTGTTTGATATACAGTGGTGCCTCGCTTAACGGTTGCCCTGCATTACGACAATTCTACTTTACGACAATCTTTTTTGCGATCGCAATTGCGATTGCAAAACAATGGTCTAAATGGGGGAATTTCACTTTGCGATGATCGGTTCTCTGCTTCGGGAACCGATTCTTCACAAAACAATGTTTTTTTAACAGCTTATTGGTGGCTTCAAAATGGCCGCCGGCTTTCAAAATGGCCCCCGCTGTTTTCTAGAGGCGGATTCCTCGCTATACAGGCAGCGAAAATGGCCAC